TCCTAACGTTTTCCAGCCAATTCGCCATGACGCGTCTTGCGCTATTAAACTTTTTGGCATGATATTGCCGTTATTTGCCTTGTGGAGCGGAGTTTGGCTCAGTACATTTCTGAATACAAATATATGTACTTACTTGTCATATAATAAACTTTAATGCTATGGGGTTTTGATGCGTTGCTGGTAGGACACACACACATGGCCTGGGCAGGAAACACCGGGGACAGCACTTTATGAGCATTCCACACTGTCCTGGACTCCGGCCTCCTGCTGAGTCCAGCGAAAACTTTTCATTCTTTTCGGTTGCTTCTTTATTAGGCTGAAAAATGAAAATGCCTTCGCAACAGGACCTCTTCTCCTCATTCGGTTTGTCTATTATGTGCAGCCCGTTAAAATGTATGTCTGCTAAATATTTGCATAAATCTTTTGGGCACGCGCAGGCTGTGTGTGAGTCCTTCTCACATTTTGTTTATGTTACCCATACGCAACGTGTATGTAATTTATTTTAACTTTTTAAGACCCACGATCAGAATGACAGCGGAATTCACAAAAAAGGAGTTGGCATGTTTGCTACATTTACCATTTTCATAATAACTAAAAACTTTATTTAAATATTTGCTGCTTTTATTTATAAACGTAGTTAATCCTAATGCTCGTTAACGCTCAGCTGGCGCTACTCACTTAAACATTAAAACAACTTTATAATCCATTATAATGTGTTCACATTTTGTTTGTAACAAAATATCATCAACACAATCTCATGTGACATTAATATATGCTTGTAGTTTTTGTTTTTATTGTTATTATTATGTCTGATTATAATACTCAATTTAACTTTTGTACATACACATACAAACTTTATATGTACTCTATACTCTTAACTGGATTTATTGTTTTGATTATTTTTGGTTTTTCGTTCTCATTTTTTGTTTACGGTTTATAGCAACATGCATTTACTCATTAAACATTCATTTAACTGTCGCGACAAATTTCACTGGCGCGCATTTATAATTTTTAATTATTAATATTAATATTTATGACTGCAAATGGTTTTCTTTTTGGAAAATTACACACATACTCCTACCACACCTAGTTAAATACAGCAGCTTTAATTTATACGTAACATATATGCAATTGTTATTTACAATTTTGATCAGTAAAATGCCCTGCCATGCCCTGGCTTGCGAATGGTCATAACATTTAATAGTCGACCGGCCATTAAGGTGGACAGTCGCATGCATTTTTAAATGTGACACATTAAACGGCGGCGCCAAGCGCAGAGAAAACGGTTTGGGGGAGGTGCGAAATGCCATCCTGGGAAAAGGACTACATATGCAACCATGGGCCATCGACCCAGGCGGAAAACCGGGCGAAATGCTTTCAGACAACTGAATTCTTGGGTGCTACACTTTAGTGGGCAGCTTAGCAAATATAAATGCAAATATTTTGTTGACAGGCAATGGCAAAGTGACTTGCAGCTTTCTAGGGAAATACAACCGGACATGATAAAGTAGAAGTTCCAAATAAAGTTCCAAACTCTTGAGCAACAGCAAGGTTGGGGCTGGGCGCATATGCTCAATACTTTATGGAATACTCAAAAAGTGCGGATGACACTTTGGAGGAAACGGACTAGCTCGGCGTTTTATGAATTTTTGCGAAGATAGAAACGGCACCCCAACAAAAAGTATAAGAAATGGTACTCAAATATGTACATACATACTTAGTTAATACAATGGCTGTTTAATGGAAGAGACAGTAACGTCTTAAGATTGAAGCATTTGTAAATTTGTTAGTTTTAAATGTTGTCTGGTTTAGAAAACGTTGAAAATACAAAGCTTGAATAGGAACATTACGAAACATATGCATATGTTAATCATGCCAAAATGTGTTGTCGAAGGTTACTGCCGCTGATTGTAAATATTTACATAATTGTAAATATTTACATTATTAGCTAGGCCTTACAAATATATACAGGTGATTATTATGAAACTTATTCCAATTTATGATGACAATAAGCTTCGCATGTAAAGCCCTCAAATCGAAACGATATTTATAGCAAACAAATGAATGAAATTTAAGTAGACTTTGAAATATTAAATTATTGCCGCAGCTTCTATAACTAACAATGCGTCTTATTCTTTTCATTTTCGAACAGTTATTTTTATCAATAGCAATACATATGATTTTTACATTCTTTACTAACATTTTTGTTGTCCATTTTACTAATGTTTCTAGTGCTGGCATATAAGTTTAGATAAGAGTACTATGTACATAGCTGCCCCAACCCACTGAGACCTAGTCCCAACCCATGTAAAGTATACACGCACTTACTTAAAACTTAGAGAGTCTACCAAATGCAATATCAGTAGCTGCACCAGTACCAGTCGCCGAAGTTGATATTATCCAAAGGAGCTCATCATTAGCGTTATTAGCTTTTTTTATTATATATTTTTTGTTTTTTAATTATATTTTTGGTATAATGTGGTATGCTTCGGTGCTGCTGCCACTAGTGCACCTACTGCTGCATTGCATCATTTGCGCGACAGCCAAGCTTCACATCTTGATAGCTCTCCAGCGGGCAGCCCACTTAGTTACATTTGCTGACTTGGCTGCCGCATTAGCGGTGGCATTTCTGTGGCGCTTCTAACTGTACAGCTTTAATTTATCACCGTGCAGCTGTACTACTCGTATTGACATGGTTGGACGAGGTTGACGTCGTCTGTTGGCCACCATGTTTGCGGTTACCGCAGATGCTGTTCCTGTTCGCCCGCGCCGTTTGACTTTTCTCCGGCAGTGCTATGTTTTCTGTCCCATCTCCATCGGCTGCACCACGTCCCCTGCCTGCTCCCTGGAGCAGCAATGTGCAGCAGGCTTCCAACAATACAAATGCTGCGACCATTGTGCTAATTACTTTGACGGCCTGCGTTGCCTGTTTCGTGTGGCAGGCCCAGGCCAGTGCGACAGCAGCTGGTGCCGCATTCGTTTGCATTGCTTCGGGTCGCTCGCCTGTGCAAAATGAGCAAACACAGAAGAAAAATTAATGCAGACATGGCATAAATGAGTTACAATTTGTTGGATCCTTTCACAAAACACACTCACCCGAACCCACACAGACACCGCCCGGCCCTACTTATACTTATTCCTGTTGTGGTTAACTCACTAAATATTTTGTTCAAAAATGCATAAAGTTTGTCGGGCTGAGAAAAATTGTACAACAAAGCTAAGTGTGTACTACATCCTTCCAACTGCATTATATATACCGAAAAGGTCATGTATTTGTAAATACTTTCCGTGCAGTTATCAGACTTAAAAGCCCTTCAAGTGCATCTGTGTGTTCCATTCAATTTTATTTCTTATTGATTTTTAACCTTTGCCATCCACTTATTGGGCATTTAAACTCGCTTAATGCACTTCTTCCACATACAAATATGCGTTACTACTCACCCGGATTGCATTTCTACTCACCCTGCAGCACGTGGACGCGTATGCTAGCAATTTCAGTATTTGATGGATAGCACGAGTATTTGCCGGAGTGCAATAAATCCGCATCGTAGATAAGCAAAATTGATTTGGTCTCCTCTGATTTAATGGTTTTAAATTTCAACCGCCCACCGGCAGTCTCCTCGCTGAGCACCTGTGTGTATAAAGGTGTGTATTAGAACATTTTCGCTAGAAATTTTTGTGTTTAAAAGGAAATTTGAAACAGGCGGTAGGAGGCGGCAGTCAAGCGGCAAGCAGGCAGCCAGCTAAATGCAAAAGCATGTTTTCTCATAATCATAAAAGCTAAAATTAAATGCGTTGCGTATACGCAGCGTAAACAAAAGCGCGAACACAAGTCGCGCCCAGCACTCATAAAAGTTGAAACGTTTATCCAGAGGCAATTGGCTGGGCCTTGAGCTTGAGTATTGGTATGAGTTTCATTTTGAGTTTGAGTGGCTGGGGTTTTGAACTGTGGGCGTGGCTGCTCTGATTTTTTAACTTTTCTTTTAGCGAGGGCAAAACTCAATTATTGCAAGATAATTAGATCCACACAACAAAATTTTTTATTTATCTTTTAAACTTGTTTCATTTATTTTATTACTCTCATAAATTGATTTGACTCTGGTATGATACTCACCTTATCCTGATGATACCAGAAAATGTGTGTTGGTGGCTCCGGACTGAACTTAATGATGCATGTAAGATTAATGGTGCTGCCCTTGTCCACATAGAGATCGGGTCCGCCGAGTATCGTTGCAGTGGGCACTGCAAAATAAGTAGTTGAACAATTTCATCAGTTATTGCAAACAATGAGTACGAGAGTGAGTCGAATAAGTGAATCAGAAAATTATTGTCAACATTTCTTAACCCACGTGACTGTTTCCAATCAGTAAGCTACCTAAATAACAGGGAACGAACGTGGAATTTGCAAGCATCTGTCCCAGGTTGACTCATTCCGGCCAAATCGATACCAAGTTGGCAACTGGTCATATCGGACCTCATTCCATTGCTAAAAAAAAAACTCTATTTGTTGTCAGACGTAGCCATTCTCTTGCTTCCAGCTCGTACGCTTTGTTGGTGATGCCCACTTATGCAACCTGGTATTGTTCTCGCTTATGTTGCAATCAGCACACACGAATATCTATGAGTGTGCGTACATTTGTGTATGTAACAAATCAATGACAAAAAGAAACGTCAGCAAAATGCACTCACATGTGGACTACGAAATGAACAAGAAGTCGCCAAGTACAGCTACCATGGTACAGCTTGCACAAGAGAAGAACAAGCCAATTTGGAATATAGAATGAGTTTTATTCTGATACGGGCAATTCTACATATGAACAGAGGCATAAGAAATCAGATGATTTTTCATAGAAAGGCATCTGATTTCTAAAGCCTCATATATTGTTTGTTTTTCATCTGATCCAATCATCCGATCCAACCCTGGGCTGTATAAACACATTTGTGGCCGTTGTTTGGATCAGACGCTCTCAATATAAGCCCCAGACGTTCGTCCATTAAATTCAGTAAGTCTGTGGTCATAGAATGGAGCGAATGTGCATAGTTGTACTTTTAATTTTCGTTTGCTACACCAAATGTCTGGCCATAGACTTTTGTAATATGACTGAGTGTAAAGGAGTAAGCCATTTGGGCTGCAACAATGATTTGGTAAGGCTTGAAATCAATAGGGCAATTATAATGTGACTCTCTTTTAGACCTTTCATAGTAGTTGCATGCATAATTGTATACTGCTCAATATGCAAATATATAAGGATTACCTGGTCAAGTTACACAATAAATACCGCGAAGATGTGGCGTCCGGAGCTTTAATGGGTCTGGCTCAAGCTAGTCACATGCCGGAGTTGTTGTGGCATTCTAAGCTGGCTCTGATAGCTGAGTACCATGTGAAGCGTTGTCTACAGAGACTTGAGAACTGCATGGCTGTTACTGCGTTTCCCAATCCAGCTGTTAACTACGGTTCAAGTTGGTTAAATATTGCATCGCTTCCCAGCTATACGCGTTCGACGAACTCTGAGAAACTAACTAGTCAAACCGAGCAGTGGTTGCACCAGGTGTATAACCTTGCACAAGGGGATCTTGGAGTTGAAGTCTATGAGATTAAAAACATACTTAATGATAACAACAGCTACGTGGGATGTGCCGCGGCTGAGGACTATGATAAGGCGGCCGATCGCTTTGTGCTAATATGTTACTACAACCATCCGCATGAGGAGATTCGTCAAATCTATAAGAGCGGAAAATTTGAGGTACAGCAATGTCCTCACGGGGTCAGCGATAGTTATCCACATTTGTGCAAAACGATTACCGACATAAACGACTAAAAGATTAAAACTTTCATTTCTAACAAGCCGCTCCACTCTGGATGGTAGCCTAATTAAATGTGACAGGTAAAAATATTTGTGGCAAAGTATTTTCATGAAAATTGTTGGGCCTCTAAAAAAAAAAAAATCGGAGGTAAAATGTGGATAGTAAAAAGCTGTCAAAGTTAGTCGGAAGAAGTATTTTCCATAGCAATTTGTTCGTTATGAGCCAGAAAAACGTTTCCCCAGCCAAAAGTGCTAGACTCAACTCTACAGCAACTCTCCTACTTCCGCCCAACTGGAGGACTTGGCTAAAAAGTGCACAAAACTGACGTGAAATACATATAAAATAAAAATATTAAAGGATAATATATGCACACGCTTGTCAGCTCTCAGCTCCCCCTTCGCACTTCTGTGTAGAGCAAGTTTGAAAAACCGCGTGGTCTGGTTAAACATAAACTTGTCAGGCAGTTGCACTTAGGAGTTTGCACTACTTATGTCATATTTCTTAACAAACCCGCAACTGTTTGAATGGGACCAAACATGCCAGCAAATTCGTCATCGCTGGACTGATAAACTCGATCCGCGGCTATGTAGAAGGCATCGTCGTTGAAATATTGCTGCATCATGCTGCTCGTCTCCTCGTCGATTATATCTGATGCGCACCACGGCAAGTGCGAGACACACAACCAAAAATTTTGTATGAAAATAAAAAACAAAACAAGAATTGTAATTAAATAATCAAAAAATATTAAAAGGGTGCATAAACATCATAATCATAATAACTGAATTCTTTAAGAATAAATAAATATGCAGTTAAACTAAATTCAATAATTACTCAAAAATCGTATTTAAAAGAACTTAATTTTCCTAAAAGCGCTAATTGTATATTACAAGTATTTAAATCTTAATCATATTCATATAACGTTTTGGGCAAAATAAACTATTTTATACCATTCACCCTCATGAATGCAAGCACCGACCAAATTATAACCTTTATTTTTTGATGTGGCGCTGCATTAAAAGGCAGCATGAATATTTCGGAGCCTGAAGTGGGTAAGTATTATACTTTATTACGGATGCGACATATGAACTAAAGTTAGCATTGTGGTGTTGGCTAAAGGGTGTCTCCGAGCCCAACATGTGGTACTAAAGCACTTTATCTAAAGCAAACAATGATATTATAACTTCTCAAATAATGCTCAGGTGATGCAAGCCACGTAAAAAATAAGCAATAATAGAAATAGTCTCAAACAATTTACTTTATCCACCTGACTAACAGTCAATTAAAGAATTTTCACAATGTTTACAAGAGTAGTATTCTATTTTCTTTACGTTTTTGCCGTTAAAACAAAAATTTTGGTTTTTTGGAAATTCAAGAAAAAAACAAACTCTTAATACTCGCAGCTGTTTTATCTGCGCATGATGGTTATTTTTATTATACTCTGTTTTGGTGCAATACCCGTACAGCTGACCAACATTTCATATGGACTCTTTTGGGGCTAGATTCTAGTATCTAAAAAAAAGAACCGAAGCTATTGAATTAATATGAACTCTTCCCTAATTTGGAGTGTGGTTTACTGCATGCTACTCTCACTTTTGTATATTTTTATTTAAGTTGGAATTTTTATTAAATCGCTGTTTTTGAGTAACATTTACAATATTGCTTTACTAATGGAGAGTATTGCGCAGCCGGCTCCACCCGACTGGAACAGTATTACTTGTTATATTGTTTTTGTGTATTTTTGTAGCGATATTGCCAAGTGTGCATAATTTACACTCTTGCAAATTGCATGAATATGCAAATAAGAAACATGTGAATACGCCTCGCATCGTATTTTTTGTAACATGTCGAAATATTACGTATACAGCAGAAGCAGAAGTTGAAATATGCAAAACCCAACGGCTAGAGCCTCGTCAGCTGTACGGCTATATAAATATTCGGTATATTTTATAAGGTATAGGTATGTGTACACACCCTGACACAGTTTTTGGTTTTAACTCACCCACAATGTTTAAGTTGACCGAATAGCTGCGCACCGGCTGCGTTGATATTTGGCATTCGTAGACACCAGCATCCCGCTGCTGGGCCCATTTGATTTGCAATGTCCATTCATCAATATCACGATGATACGAGGTCTGAAAACGCTGATCCGTTGTATAGGTATATGTGCCCACCGTGAGTATGTGCAGATCACGATGTCGTATCCAAGCCACCTGTGAATATGGAGAAGCAAAATTTAATTTTATATTTGCACGCATGTGAAAATGCAACTATCAATGGCATTATCTAAAGGCGAACCAAAACAATTGCCACTTGGTCACCACAAACTGAACAATCAAACATTTTAGGCTCAGAGTCAATAGCAGCCGATTGCAAGTTTGTTATTGTGTGGCTTACGAAATCACCAAGCATAAAAACCAATTAATTCAATTAAATCAAATAATTAAGAATACAAATTTGATATGTGAAGGAGCGACTGGACGAGGCAGAGTTTAAGTGTATGTGATTTGAATAAATAAACTAGGGTTAACATCATGTTTGACCCTGTTTCAATATGCATTTAATTTTCCTTTTATTACTTTTAAATTATACGAAAAGCTTGTCATTTATTTAAAGTACGTCAAAAACTATTTGTCAGTGTATGTGCATAAGTCGATTTATGGCTGCTTTTCAGACTTATTAAAATTGAACTAAATTTGAATATATCATCATGTGCCTTTTTTGTAGCATTTGTGCGTCGCATGCTGATTTGCATTTTGATTAAGCTAAGAAAAACTTGTGTGAATTTGCTGGGATTTGCTTTGGTCAGCCTAAGTCCGAGTCTCAGGCTCATTGTCGGTCGCAGCCACAGGCCAAAAATGTATGCAGCTCACAATCTAAATATTAAATAACTAAAAATTAGTGTGCGCCACGCATGACAGCGCCGGAAAATGATACTTCCGTGCTCTCAACCTCGACATTCCTTTTCCGCATTGGCCACTACATTTTGTAAATTTTTTATGTTCCATTTATTTTTTTGTGTGCTGCCACTGTTTTGGCAAGTTTTTGGGCGCCTTTTTATGCGGTGGCCAATTGCTACAGTAACAAATACACACACATGCACACATTGGTAGACACAGAAACAGACAGGCAGACTAACAGACAGTCAGACAGACAGACACTGCGTCAGAGTCAGCCAACTGTGCCAGGCATCCATCTGTGCAGTTCCAGTTGCCGTCTGTCTAATTCGGCAATAACAGTCCAAGCCTGGAAAAAAAACTTTATTCCGTCAGAGTTTTTGCCGCACTGGCAACATAAATTTACCGTTGGCCAAAAACGAGCCGCCAGTTAACTAGAGAAGCTTTCCCCTGCACTTCCTTTCCCACTCTCTTTCACCCTCTGTCTCTATCTATCGTTCGTCCTCCCTCTCTGTCTGCTATGTGTAGTTTACTGATTGCGGAAGCGGATTTGGTTATGTGGAAATCTATAACCCCCGTCCAGGGTGCCAAGTCCAACGCTCGCTTAACGTAATCAACGCTGGAGCATTTATAACTTCTGGCCCTAAACGAGAAGCACCTGCAAAGTTTCTCACGATTGCATGCAGGCCGTATATATGTGTTTCGAACGTATGCGAATACATCCGCAATGCTGAAGTGTGAACTATTCGGGTATGTTTGATTGTTTAATCTTATCGTAAATTACGTTTAATGCTGGGCTCATGTCCTGGTCTGCAACAGATTGTGCTGCAGTGGCAGCTAGGATATTGACAGCGTGACTAAGTAACTAGCCCATTCTACGGGTTGATGAACCAATTGCTGGCTAACATTTCAGACGTATCGCAGTTATGGCAACCAATTTAATTGGTTTGCTGAAATTCAATACTTTGTTAAGCAATTTCCCAGAAAGAGCATTCAAGCGAACTTGTACAACAGTTTAAGTGCTGCTCCTCAAGCAGTCAAAAAAGTTGGAAAACGAGATGTTAATTGTCTAAAGCAAATTTAGCCTTGAGGCTCCGAATATCCAAACTGTCTCATATGGCAACTGGCAAATGGTCAAAGTTTTTTTAGGCCATGGAAAATCAAGCGACGCCATAAAACTAATGACAATATCTGGACAGGGTACATGGACAACATGTGTTGGCTTGTGTTCTGCGCCTCAACTTAGGTTCATTGTTTCAACGTCACGTAGTACATAATAAACTGACAGTAAATTTAATAAGCGGCTGCTATTATGGCACACACACGCACGCAGACTACAACACATGCGTCCTATGGCAATATCATATAGCAACTATATGAGATGGCCGACATATTGGCCGCACTTGTCGCTACATTTTTGTTTATTAAATGTAAATAAAAATAAACATTATTAAAACAGACGCCCCCGCAGCAGCAGTCAAGCTATTGTTTTCGGTATATAAGCATATAAGCTGGTTTCATATCATGTTTGTGTATATTTTTTCTTCGAGTCCACGTTATCTTTTCACTGAACGCTCTTCTCTTTAACTTGAGTGTGCAGCTTTTTGAGTTCACAGATATATACCACAAAAGATGGCCATTTAAGGATTTGTATTTATGCTTATCCGTATCTTTGCGCGGGTCGTACTCACCGTCTTGTTGCCCAGATGCTTGACACGACAGCCCAAATATGCGGATTTGCCCACAAGGGATGTTATATTCCTTGGCATTGTCAAATCAAAATACGGCTCATTCCATTTGTGGCCATGCGGATAATGTAATGGTGGCAGATGTGTTGGCTTTGAATCTGCATTATTATGATTGTTGTTGTTGTTCACAGATTGCCGCTGATAGCACAATGTTAGCCCTGCGAGACAGAAAAAAAAAAAAAAACAAATCAAAAAAACGTTTCTTTCATATTATATAAAAATAAATATTTGTTCATGCGTAATTTTCCATTGGCGTTGCCAATGTCCGTCAGCGTTATTTAACTTCAATTTTGGTTATACTTTTATTATTAACTCATAAGCCGAGCTAAGCCACCTGCAGGACAATGCTGTTTGGCGACTCGTTTCTGCTTAGGAACATTGCCTTTGTGGCCGACAGCATCACGAGCTCCGGCTTGTAGGGCGGAAACAGGAAACGGTTCTATCCAA